ATCAAGTAATGTCTGTCACATGAGAGACGAAATCCTAATAAGGCCTTGTCGGGACAGTGAGCCGAAGACTTCTTCATTGCAAAGCAATCATTCTTCGGTTTCCAGTAGAACCAATTCACGAATTTCTTCCAACAAACTTTTCTTCCGAAATGAAAAGTCCATTCACACAAACCCAGCCCTTCTTCATAAATGCATACGTACAGATCCATTCGCTTTCAGAGCCATCACAACGCAGAGTTGGCCCATCCATCGCTAGCCTCAACCACTGCCACCAGCCCGGCTGAGGTGGGCCGGCGTCTCCGAGACGCCCTTGGCCGACGCCGGCGACGCTTCAATCGCACCCACCACAGTCGACTGATCCATGGCAACCTTTGTCGTCGGCCGGAGCGTCCGATACGCCGGCGAATCTCTACTCTGCGACAATGCCCTTCAGACAATCAAACTAGGCAGTCCGACAACTGGCCGACCTGCCGACCGCGACCAGCTGTCGGACTGCAACGCAACTCCTCCTCAGCCTCGAGTCCGCCATTGCCGTCCTCATTCCGACGCCGGTCTCCAATCGTCTCGGCGATGACAACCCTCGAAACCTCTAGCTCTAGACACGGCCCCAGACCGGGCTCCCTATCCACCCGAAGCAAAGCCTCCGGAGGCTCCAGGACAGCCCGACAGCCGGTGCGACGGGTAGCCACCAGAACGGCCTCGGATCGAATACAAAAGCCTGTATGCCTTGAGGCCGGAGGCTGCCAAGTGGTAGTGGGAGGCAATTCCGAGCCCCAGTTGTCGGTCTGTTTTGAGCAACAGCACAACTGGCCGATCCGAGACTCGTTGAACTCGCCTAACCAGTCTTGGAATCACTTCCGTCCGCCGGACAATAAGACTCACCAAAGCAGACTCAGCCAGACTCAGCAAAACGGGATCGGGAAGCGAGATCATTCGCATTGGCGCTCAGTTGATAGGCAGAATATGCACTGTCAGACATCACTTGACAATCACGTACCTTCAAGGCTTACTCGGAGTCATACAGGTCCCGGTTAGTGAATTGAATCCAACCATCTAGTCGGTACCCTCGGCCAGATCACAATAGCTTAGCACCAAAGAACAAGGCTTCAAAATGAAGCCTTGTAAACCTGTTATTCTTACACTTTTTCATCATTTGTATATTCCTATAACTGTAATCGAATAGGTAATTGCACAAAGGAGCCTTAGACATGTAAACTTATGCAAAGCCTACTTCATATGAATGTGGGCATAGTAGTTAAATATAAGCGAAAAAATACGAGTGGTCCGACCTTGTTTTCGCGTTGTCATAGCGACCTAGTTGTATGCACCTTGTCCGAAGTCCTCTGCCATAGTAGCTATCATTATTCCTAGCGTTGGAACTTGCATTTGCTACATTCCCAGACCTTTCGCCGGTATCGTAGTCGGCATCATATGTGAGTCTTGCCATTCTAAGCACCATGCTACAACTCATCAAAGAGATAAACTACGTCACTCTCTTCACCAGCCTTCTGCCGAACGTTTATGCCATCACTCCTCTTTTTATCCTGGCATATAAACGTACTCCCTATCCTCTTGACGAAATGTAGCTTGGTGCTGATAATGGCAAGACTTACTGACGATGCTAAATACGATACCGGCGAGATATATCGGAGTGTACCAAGTCCACGGACCAGCGCTGGAAATGATGATTACTACTATAGCAAAGGACTTCAGACAAGGTTCAGTCCTGACAATACGACCAAGTTGCGAAAACAAGGTCAAACAACTTATATACAACGAAAGGAGACTGCGACCACACAAAAGGCTACACCATCTTGGTCTTTATAGCTTCGATTATTTATTATTTAGTCCTTAGGAAGAATTATTCTTAAGGTACAAAATACAATTATCTTTCTCTCTGCCTCCGTTTTACTCCAACCTATCCAGAATTCAGACGCGACGGTCTCAGTCAGCCCTGCGAACCGGCCAGTCCGTACAGTGCCAAGGCTGGATCAAACAGAGCTCCGCCTCGTGCAAGCCTTCCCGTCCCCTCTTCGCTTAAAACTGGTTCCGTCACTTTGACGGAAACGCCGATGCCTCCAAACCAGACGAGCTCACTTTCCTGCGCCGAACGGCTTCGTACGCCTCGTATTATAAACTCATTGGTCGAGCCATCTGGCGAGACCCCGACCGCAAAAGAAAGCTCGAAGCGGCCACTTATCCTTCGTG